CTCGTAGCGGCTATCGGAGCCTTTTCCTGGACCTTTTGAGCATGAAATAAATACTGTTGCTGACCCTGCAGGAGAGCTACCCTTTGCTTTCTGCTCTGGCTCAGCACCAGTGTCGGATGCACAGGCCTGATGTTTGGTTTCATGATGACGTCGTACATTATCCTCTTTCATAACTGCCACAGTCTCAGTGCAGATCAAACAGACACACTTGAATTCTTTGAAGAAATATTCACTCTCCCACCGTGTCTGAAATTTTCTGCACTCACCATCCACCTTTCGCTTCTTTGGTTTTGACCTGTTTAGTAACTTGGGGTAAATTTCTTCTGTGATTGTCCTTTTTGGTGGAGCAACTGCCTTGATCACCAGTAGCTCCCCCTGGTGTTAAAACTAAGAAGTGCAATACAATCAAGCAAAAGTTGAAGTGCGGGCCATATGTTATTCTATTTATAAAATTACTTGCGGGCCAATTAAAAAAGGACCGCGGGCCGCAGTTGGCCCACGGGCCAGAGTTTGGACCCCCCTGGTTTAAAGGATTAAATTCAGCGTCTCTCTGCCGTTCTCTTTACCACTACACTCTCTGTCTCGCCAGTGTCTTATTCTAAGTGGGCGAGGAACGAGACATGTTCACTTACCTGTGTGTGAGAGAACTCCCTCAGTGTCCGTGTAGCACTGGTGTAGCACAAGTAGTGGCCTTGTTAGACCTGCTAGTGCTACTTCCTGCCTTCTTTGCATGTGGTATAGGCAGTGTAGTTACCTTTAACCACAGTCTGAGGACAGATGGGAAATATACAAAAAATTCCACCACAAAAGAAGATTTCAAAGGTTTTTCAAAGGAAACATTTATTTGTACAAAAGTATCACTTAAGAACACAACTGCATGCCTCTGTTTAGTTTGGATTTCATGGTTTAAACATATAAGGAAGTAATAGTAACACAAGTCTGAGTTCACTGTCTGTTTTCAAATGCATTTCAGAAGCAGGAAAAGTCCTTATGTCTCCCTCCTGTCCCGCATCCTCAGGCCGCTCACCCCGACTTCCTTGGGTGTGTCTGCAGAGATTTGACCCTCCCCCTCCACGTTTGCTGACATTAAAATATTGCCTTCTATATCCTCCTCTGCTTCCTCCTCTGGATTTGAACTGCCATCACAGCTGAACTGCAGGCTCTCTGCCTCCATCACTGGGTCATCTTCATCAGCTTCCTCCTCTTCTTCCTCTTCTGTGTCCTCGTCCTCCTCCTCCTCCATCTGATCTTCCTTGTCCTCTTGCCCATCCTCGTAAGTGTCCTCTTTAGGGTAGTGGAAGACATCCTTGTGCTCGCTGAAGCTGACTTGCTTCTTCCTGCTATTGTTACACTGCAGCTCTTTCTTCACCTCCAAACCAACTCTTGTTGTCGTTCTTTCAGGACCTGGCTGGGATGATGGAGGACGGAGCAAGTGCCTTTTCTCTGCCTCCTCCTCACCATCCTCTTCCTCATCTATGTCTTCCTCTACTGCCATAGCTTCTTCTATTCCCTCCTCTTCTTCCTCTTCATCCTCATCATCTTGTGCTTCTGTGTCCTCCTCATCTTCTTCCTCTTCCTCTCGCACTATGGAAAGTTTCCTTGCCATGACCTCTTCCTCCTCTTGCTCCATCCTCTCTGCTAGGGCCCCAGCGGTGGGCTGTGTGGGGGGTTCCTCTAGTTTAACCGTCTTAAACCCACGTCTGAGGCAGGGTTCATCATACTCTGGGTAGGTCTCCTCTGGGTAACCTTCCCAGTCTGCACCGTATGGGACCTCCTCGGCCTCCATCTCTGGGGAGGCTCCCTCCAATCTGCTCTCTTGAATAGGCTGTGTGATCTGTCTCAGCTGCCTGAGTAATTTCTCCTCCTTTTTGACGTGGTGGTTTTACTCCTCCTTCGTCTACCACTCCCAGAACTATTGTTCCTCCTGGACACAATCCTCTCCATCATCTCTTCAGGTTGGAGAAGTCTCTCCTGCAGCCTGGCAAGCTCATTAGCAATGATTGTGTTCTTCCTGGTTCCCACGGTTACTGCAGAGTTCTTCCCTGGTTTATTAGCCTTCCCCCTACAGGTCAGCTTATGTATGATGTAAAGGATGTAAAGAAGGATCCCAAAGCCATATAAGGGTATCACTTGAGTCATCAGGTTGTACTTTTTGCCTCGTCTTGTTTTTTATTTTTTTATTTATTTTATTATTTTATTTTCAGTTGTTACAGACGGGACAGACATGAGTGAGGGATAGGAAAGGGAGAGAGAAAGAGGAAGGAAAAGAACAACAGAAGGGGAGAGGGACAGTGAGAAAGGGGGAGAAAAAAAATCTCCTGGATCACCTGTTGAGAGGAGAAGAATAGAAAACAAGCAAAAAAAACAAAGCAACATACTAAACACAACACCATCGCATTAATCTAGCTAAGTGTAAACAGCAGTAAATACTAAATATTCAATGTTGTTGTGCAGCAAGCAGGACAGACAGCGCACAATGTGCTTCGAAGTAGCAGCCAAGAGAGGTGTGATTTAAGTCTACGAGCAGTGAGCACCCGTGTGCACACCTGTGTGGATCAGCGCGCTTGTATTCAAAAGGTTTCCCCATGTAATGGTCTGCAAGAGGATGTAGAGAGCCATAGCCCCGCCCCCAGGGCATGAAGCAGGCATGGAGGAGATCCAGGCCCCAGACATCCAGAGGCCCCAGAGTGCGAGAGCCCAAGGAGGACCACCGGAGGGGCATCGGTGCCACCTTCATGGGAAGGGCTGAGGATCCCCAGACGAGGCGTCACCCAGTAGCCACCGAGCAGAAGCTAGAGGGGGCTGCACCGGCGTGTCCGCTGGCTCTGCCGGCAGCCAGCTGTGCCAGAGTGAACCAAACCGCAGGCCCAGAGGCCGGAGGCCCGAGGGCCCCCCGCACCCCGGAGGAGGCCTGACCGAGCAACAGGCGCCAGGCCCCGCCAGGTAGCCACCGGAGTGAGCCGGTACATACCTGAGCGCCCAGCCCCGGACACCAAGAACCACCAATGCACCGACCCCTGAGGGCATCAGTCACCGGCAGGGAGTGTGGTGAGGGGAGACAGGCCTTGGAGGGCCTGGGAGTTCCCAGAGAGGTGGAGTCTAAGACCCGACCTGACATATAGACACAGACACAAAGGATTTCAAAAGATTTTAATAGGTTAGTTTAAGAATTTTGAGCAAACAACAGAAATAAGTGTGTAATAACAACATCTCACTCCTCAGAATTATGTAAGAAGGCTTCATTTCATAATGACAGTAAAGCAAATACAGACAGATGTGTAGAGAAAATAATCACATAAAAATAATAACTGTGCTAATAAGAAAACCCTCCTGATGTCCATAAATACGGTGGAATCAAAGGTTCCTAAAGTTATAAAGTAACATGTCGGGTAAAGTTCTTCATGTTTGTACTTGAACTTGAGTAAATGTGTTGATCTAGTTTCCAACAGTTGCAGCAAACACATGGAGCAACACAACGAGAACACACAGTGAGGTGAAGTGAGTGAAGTGGATCTGGGGCCCGTTCTTCGTACGTCGCTTACTACATCCAAGATCAAATGACACATCCAAGATCAAATCATCGCGCTAACCGTGAGCTCGCTAATCCGGTTCCCCGAACACACCTGCTGTTGACGATTACTACAGCTGGACGCAGTAATGTGACATCACTGGGTGTCGTAAAAGGGGCTACGCATCGATAGTAGAAACATTGATCGGCAACCCTCTGATTGGTCGGCGAAAATGTCGACGGAGCGCGCTCGGCTCGGTATTTTTCGGCAGCAGAGCAAGAACTCTTGAGTGAGGGATTTCAGGAGTTTCAGAGTTTAATCAGAACGCAAGGGAACACTGCAAAGGCTGCAAAAGCAAGGAGCGAGGGCTGGCAGGAAGTTGCTGACAAATTAAACTCGTAAGTAATTTAATAATAACAATAATAATGGAGTGGATTGATATAGCGCTTTTCAAGGCACCCAAAGCGCTGTACAATGCCACTATTCAGTCACTCTCACATTCACACACTGGGGGAGGCAGCTACAGTTGTAGCCACAGCTGCCCTGGGGCAGACTGACAGAAGCCAGGCTGCCATATCGCGCCATCGGCCCCTCTGGCCAACACCAGTAGGCGGTAGGGTAGATTTATTATATTACACTATATTATCCAATATTATATTACATTATATTATAATATGTTATATTTTATCCTCTGTCACATTAGAGCCACGACAGGACCCACTAGAACATGGGAACAGGTAAAAGTGAAATATAAGAATATTCTACAGAATGGTAATATTTATCACTTATATTGCTTTTAGTCTCTTGGAAAGAGACCCTGGAATAATCTGTTTGTTTATAACAGCAACCAAGAAAAGGGCAGAGCAACAAAAGACAGGTGGTGGTCCTGCACCCCTCGTCAACAAGTTGGTTAAGTAAATAATACCCTCACGGGAAAATCGATATCTCTCTATGAGCACACTGTCGCGCTGAGCTAAAGGATCCTGTCTGTCCCGCAATATACGCTGAATTCTGAGGACTCTCCTTATCAATCTTGCACCTTCCGCAATGGGTGGCTCGCGTATACGGACAGGACATGGCTGCGACAGACTTCCCAAATCCACCTTCGCTTTTATAGCCGTGGTCTCTCATCTTGATTACACGAAGTAATTTACAATTACTACTCTGAAATATGAATTAAATCTGTAATAATCACATACATGTAATAGAATGTTAATAGTACATTTCCCTTTTTTAGGAAATGACCTGTGTGAAATCAATAAATGGATCAGGTGCTGCATTGTCTTTAGTTACATTGATGTTATTTATTTATGGTGAAACAGTGGTGGAATATCGCTGTTGCTTTCGTATAAATGAAGCGGGCATACCTGCGTGGCCGCGATCTAATCCTGTTTACATAAAGTAAACCTGCTCCGAGCAGGTTTACGCTTACGGCTCTGTTGCTATGACAGCAAGTCCCGGATGAGCTTCGGGGAACCGACTGATCCAGGATCACGCGAAATCGTCAACAATCTAATCCGGCTAACCTACTTAGCGAGGTACGAAGAACGGGCCCCAGGTTTTCACCACTGCAAAACACACCCGCACATGTCGGGGAAGTGGGAGGAGCGGTGGGAGGAGCGGTGGGAGGAGCAGTGGGAGGAGCGGTGGGAGGGGAAGTGGGAGGAGCGGTGGGAGGAGCGGTGGGAGGGGAAGTGGGAGAAGCAGTGGGAGGAGCGGTGGTTTGTAATGAACTGTCTGGGGAGGGGAAGGTAAAAAAGCCTGGTGGTGTCCCTGTAACTGTGTCGCTGATCCATTGCTGGTACTGGGACACAGGAGTGTAGGTTGAAGGACGTCCAGAGCATCCAAGCACAATGAGAAGTCCACTCTGCAGCCAGACGGATCCACTCTGAGTCATCAGTGGTGCCCCAAAACTAGTCTGTGGAAAGACAGTGATGAAAGTTATCAGGACAGATGTGTAACTGTTAGAGGTCGACCTTTGTCACCCACTAAAGTTTGAACTTTGTTGGTAGTTTTGTTACAAACTGCTGAAATAAATTAAGTAACAAATAAATGGATCGTCCCAGTATAACACAGTCAGTAACACTTCATGGATATCAGTCTGTCCACTTAGGAAACATGAACCACTGTGAATCCACTTCAGCTGCTTTGGTGCAATGAAAGTGACGATTCCACAGACAGAAAGTTTCAGGCAGCTCGTTTAAAGGAATCAGTTTCATCAAATAAATTAGAGGCTTTAGAAAAAACAACCTTTGATAAACATGAATATGAATATTTATGGTCCATTACAGCAAAACAAGTAAACCAAAGTGTGACTAAAGGTGAGATTATCTCAGTGACTGTCAACAACAGATTATAAGAAATAAACTTGTGCTCACCAAACATGAATCTATCCTTCCAGTACAGATGATGCTGTCTGGGACCCGTGGATTGCTGGCTTTGCACTCACTGTTTCCCACTATTGGTACGTTTGCCTCCTGCAGGTTATTGCTGATTACTAGTTGGAGAGAATTTAAACATCAGGCTGTTCTAAAGACTCCAACACAATGCTGTAAAATACAATAAATATTTTATGATTTACCAAAGAAATTAAAGCCGATGGTCCAGCTGCTGGTCTCATTGTTGAAGGTGCTGTTTTGTGAGGCTAAGCAGATCGGCCGAATGTAGTCTGTGAAATTGACAGGAGCCGACAGCTTCAGAAGACAAATGTCGTTCTCACGAGTCGACGAGTTGAAGCCAGGATGGCAGGTGATGTTTACCACTGTGCGATTCACTTCATTTGGGTTTGGACCTGAGCGGCTGTTGCGGCCCAGATAGACCACCCTGCTACTGAAATCCCTTCACACACAACAGATATTTTTATTGTCATCATCAGCACAGGGCAAAGCAGTCGATGCCACGAGTTTCCTTTGTTGTGTGTGTGTTTCTGTGTGTGTGCGTGCACAGGTGGTTGAACCTGCTGGCTCGTTACATGAATAAGTAATTAACACTGATGGTCAGATTCATCCACAGCACTGAGTGCGTTCATGTTTCAGGTGCTGCATGGAGATCTAGTGTTTGAGAAGAGGAGCGAGCTCAACAAGCATCAGCAAACACACAAACTGTGCGTGTGCAGTTTGTGTCTCTGTGGGTGAGTGTACAGCTGGAGTATTCACCAGGAAGACACAAAATATTATCAGACATCAAAGTCAACTTCTGCTGATCCTGAAGGTCTCTTTGAATGCCAGCATTACAGAGTGCAGGGTGTGGATATCAGCCACAGAGCTCATGTAACATCTGTTTACATGTTGTTGAACTGAGCAGTGAGGTCAGCTGATCACAGCTGCACACAAACAAAACACATGACTGTGACTTTTCCTCACTTTTCTCTCCAGTCTCAGTTTCCCAGCATGTGTTCATTAACGAGCCTCACAGAGGTGTGTAGTTGTTTGTAATAGCAGCAGCTTTATGCTAAGCTAACCATCTTCTGTCATCAGTGGACAGAAAAATCAATGCTTCTCAAATACAAGGACATCTATGAAATGACTTTATAGTTTAGATTAAACTAATGTGGCGTCTGGTTTGATTGTTGTGCAGACAACTTTGCAGTTCAGCACTTTGGGCAGCAGCTGCTGTTTTTAAATGTTAGAAGAAGTGAGGAAATATTAAAAATATCTCTAGTGCACATGAATGCTACACTTCACCTTCATCATCATATTCAACAAAGTGTAAACTGGCAGCACTGACTCACAGTGACATGGTGGATGCAGCTGTCAGCACCCACTGGTCGTTGATCAGAGACCCTCCAAACCCAAAACTGGTAGGCAGAACTAGAAATCCAGCATTAATGAATGAAGGCCCTCCATCAACTCTTATATCAGCGAACCAGGGCCAACTTCCTGCTGCAGCGTCACCAACTCCTGTGAAGCTGCTGTTCACAGCCCTGCTGCCACATGCTGACAAAGCAGAGAGAGCACAGCTAAACATTAAAACCACTGAGAGAGAAAACACTGATCAACGCTCTGCTGGGAGATCCTGAGCTCTGACATTCATGTGGAAGTTACTCTAACATCAGACTGTGCTTTACATGTGATCCACAGACGTCCCTCCTCTGTGTCAGAACAAAAATCATTTCAGTTTTCTATGTGCTCATTGCTGTCCAGCTGACAGAAGGAAGACGGGTTAAATGTCTTTGGGTGCTTACCGGGCTGCTGTGAGTCACAACCTGAAAATGAGAAAACACAGACAAACCTGTGAAAGTAAGCAGTGATGGTTTTCTTCAACTCGAAGAACCGATCACACTAAACACAACACTTTAAAGCTGACTGCAGTTACAACCTTGATGAAGGTCAGAGTCGCCTGTGTCGTTACTCTGGCATCAAAGCTTTGCCTCGGTGTTCCTCACCAAATACATGTTCTCAGTTTACTCAAACATCAGTAACTGTAATATAAAGTTACTCTCTGCTGAATATCATCAACTGTTAGAAATCCAACACAACAAAGTAAACTAACGAACGCAACAACACGTCTGTAAAAGAAGCTGTTGATATCAAATAAAGAGTGAAGACGTCCGGTGACTGTGACTTCATTACATTATCATATTAAATACGATGCTGAATGACATTAATGCTAAATGGACTCTTTCCTTGTATCCAGCAGCAACATTTCGTTTAGAAACATTCGTACCTGTAATTAATCTCGTTCTTCTTCCAGCCCTGATAAAACCTCAGCAATGAGAGGAAGGAAATTCAAACAGTTTCTCACCTTTGCAGAAGAAAATGATCAGCACAGTGACGCAGCACACAAACTGCTGCAGAGCCATGGTTAACTGCAGCTGTTTCAGCTCACCTTAGACTTTAAATATGTCAGATGTATGTTCAGCTCCACCTGTTTCTAGAAGTCATCAGGGCCCCACCAAAGAATGCGGTCAGACTCGTTGGTCTTTGTGCTGTTTGGACTGCAGCTCGAGGCACTGAAAGTTGGAGCAGGTTTTTCAATCACAGCAACAGTCAGCTGGTGCTGCTTTATGCTGTAAGGTAGACCCTGCAGCAGCAGGTAAAGTCCCCACACAGCAGACTGCAATCAGCCCTGATCAGTTTGTTACTGCCGTCATGTTTTTGGGATTTGTTACGCACACTTTGGGGCAAACATGACACTTTGTAGGTTACAAATAATCCTGTTAAATTAACACCACAGGAGAGAGGGGGGGCAGTGTGTGTACATGGGTCTTTATGTCTTTGTGTGGGTCACTAGTGGGTGGGTGGATCAGGGGCTGGCTGGCCCTTGGCCCCAGTGGGACATGGTCACCTCTCCCCTCTGGACACTTCAGCCCCTCCCTGGGATGCGGGGGCTGGATTGTCCCCGGGGTCTCCCTCCATCTCCTGCTGGGTGTCCGTCCCAGGTGTCGTATCTTTGTTTTGGTTTTCGGTCTCTTACGGGTGCAGCAGCTGGCGACACATTTTATTGTTTCTATCAGAAAGCCTGAGACAGGTTTCCTTTTTGTTTTTCCTCTGCAATCTCTGCACTCTCTGTTCATACTAAATCATTTAAAGAACATTTTAACGTCGCACTCAACAACAAACAAAAAGTCTCTTCAACGGCTAAACTGCTTTATATTTCTTCACGCCAATACACGAGCCACCAGTAGGAGTGACGGGGGCTGCGAGTTTGAGACTCTAGAAAGTGCTACTCAAAGCAGGAAGGTGCTCAAAAAGCCATATTTAGTTTGCTGTAATGTCATCAAATGTCAGTTTTGTACCAAGACAGAGTAGAAAGCACTGACCACGGCACTCTTTCATGGAAGTTCAACACTGACCCAAACACTGCCAGCACCCAGCATCACACACCAAAGGACACACTGAGCAGGTCCACCAGAGCTCCCACGGCTTTGCTCTCATGGGGTTTGTGCTGGTTTTGAAGCAAAACACAAGTGTGACGAGGAGACGTCCAGGTTACTCAACAACAGCCACTTCTAGAGGGAGGTAGGCAGAGTTTGTGGACACACAGGTCTTTTTAAAGGAAAACAGCCACGATTAAGCTAGAGATTAATAATATTCTCCAAAGTGGACTGACAGGGTAACATAACAGATGGATGAGCTTACAGATGACCGTGTTGCTTTGGTATTTAGTTTGTTACCAAGCTAATATGCAAATGAACGACTCTTTGCATGTGCTGCCAAACACACCTGTGACAAACATCTGGAGTATCTGGTTCTGCACGTATAGTGAGATGTTCTGGCATCCTTTTAATGAATTCTCTGAAGTCTTAAACAGATGACGCATGCTTCTCATCTGGGAGGTTCAGAGAGGCTTTGGAGCAGTGGCGTGTCTAGAAAATTTTTGTTGGGGGGGCCAGGTAGGGGCACAGATTTGGAGAAGGGTGGCAGATGTAATTGGCAGATAATGTTAAAAACAAATCTACCAACCGTTCACCATAATTCAATAATCCTGTAAACCTAATAACCAAATGCACTTTTAACTCTTATTAGAATGAGATTTTAACCACTACGGTGCAAAGTTTTTAGATACTGCGTTGATAAAGTACAAGAGATACAATCAGTCAGTGTTTACTCAGCATTCAAGGACAGCAATATTTGCATAGTATTTTTACTGATATATAGTGCACATATGTTTTGGGCAAAAACAGTTTTGAATATTAAAATATGAACATTTTAAACATACAATTGTCAAATTAGCCAATGCAAAACTTTATCTCCCTGTTAAAAAAAAGAAGATGATCTTCTTACAAACTGGTGTTTGATTTTGAAACAGGAAAAAAGTGGGGAAACAACTGAAAAGACTAACATTTGAATAAAACCTACTAGAAATTAATATTAAATACATTCTAACAACAGCTGATCAAGCTTAAACGTGCTGCTGTTGTTTAGCGTGACATCCGCTGGTTTCCTCTTTCTGGCACAAAGTGGGCGATAAACAAACAAGAGAGTCGATCAGCTGATCACTGATCAGTTTTCATGATTGAAGTAGCAACAGGTGAGAGAGGGGGGAGAATGAGAGGAGAAGAGGCAGCTGCAGTGTAAAGACAAATTAACTCCAGCTTTGTGTCTTTTTTCATCCTAGCTAAAGTCCGGGACAAACTGTGTCTCTTCTCAGCTCAACACGAAACCTGTAATATTTTCTCTGAATGAGGGACCATTCCGTTTTTTACGGGACAGTTGGTGAAGGGAATCTCCGTCCATAGATAGAGTTTCCTCCTAAGGCATGGGCACCAATAAGCAGAGTTCATCCTTTAACATATAACAAAATTAAAATATTCTCATGCATGATCAACGGGCAATCACGGTACCGGCCGGAGTACCGGGAGTAGTTTGGAAAAACAAGAAGACGCAGAGACTGTTCTAGGTGTCATTACAAACCGACTCAAAGGTTTATTTATCATACAACAGTTTATATAGAGGAAAAAAAGGTTCGTGTGTCAGCAGGTTCTCAGTTCAAACCGGTACAGACCAAATAAGGAAACGTCTTCCTGCCTTGTGAGCAAAGAAGTATCCTTTGTGTAGTTTATCAGTTCAGCTACAATTTATGATCATCCCAGCAAAATACACTCCTAGACATAGAATACAGAGTTCTTTCATTAGTGAATTCTGAAACAAAACACCTGGCCTTTAACAAGCTCTTTTCTAAAAGATAAGGAAGGAGGATGGGAGTAAGGAAGTGGTCTCGTCTCTGTGGTATTTTCGACCTTGGGGTACCAGCCTGTGATTCTTACACATCAATTCTTGGGTCAGAGAGAAAGAGAAAAACAACTAGTAAATGGGCCTTATTGAGTAACAGTTCTCCTGTATAATATCACTACGAAACAACATCCTGTAAATGCTAACTGTAGTATCAAAATATCACAACAGTTGGCAACTCTACTAACTAACCTTATGAATAAAATAAAGTTCACTATCAGTAACATCATAGCACCCACAGCTGTATAGAAACTCCGTCAAGCTGGCTAGAACGCAGTACGAGTTATTGCAACTGACGGTAAAAAGTCAGCACAAGGAAAATAAACTCCACCTAAACTTGGTTTATATCTGATCCAGATAGACTGCAGGTCATAACTTCTGTTGAAAACACGCAGTTCTTTGAATCTTTGGGCTGAAGGAAGGACAATACTCGGTGTATATATGCTCAATCAACAAACATTTATTTCGGTACAATTCACAACAAGAGCATTACAACGTCCGGACGGGAGAGATGCCTGCAGAGGTTCGACAGCATGTCTCAAAATGGTGGCAACTTTCACAGACTTTTATAGCTAATCCTGGCCCCCTCCTTGTCATAAAAGCTGCATCTTCACATGTTTTTCTAATTCTTAGTGAGCCTGGCTCCTGACCTTGCCTCCCTGTCTTTCTGTGTGAAACTGGAAGGGGGGTGAAGAATGTGGTTTTATCTCTTCTGCTCAGACACCTAGTCTCCCTGTTATGGCCTTCTTCACATGATTCAGCAGTAAAACATTCTCAAGAAAACAGTGTCAGACATTCACAGCTGATCAAGGATACAGAGTAATGCACATTTTGTCTAATGAACTACAAATGATTATGTTTCTTTTATTCAAGAGTATAATAGAGACTAAACTACATAGATAGCACACCATTAGAACTAAAGGATAATATATGGCCTACAGCTGTTAAGCTAATTTACTACCTTGACTACTGGTCATAAAATGGCATATGTTTAACTACTTGTCATTAACAACACCCCCTTTGATCTCTTTTCTCAAGAGATCACTTACAAGACGCATTCCAGGGTCACAAGGTCCACGTCTCTCCATTCCTCAGGATCATCCTTTAACAGAGGCATCATAACCCCCCGGCCCTCCGGCCCTGAGGTTACGGCCCTGTCAATAAGACGAACTACTAGAGCTCTGAGGCATGGGATCAAACAACAACCACATGTGGTCAAGACAGCAGTGAAAACAGACAGTGAGACCAAGATTGACATAACAAATCCCTTCCATTGCCCAAAA